AGATAAGACATGAAAAAATAATAGGTGCCCTCTTTTCGATCACACCCTCTCTCCCTTTCCCCCTACCCCGTCCTCTCTCCTCCCTTTATTAATCCATCGACGTATCCCTCACCTCCGGTAGCATTTGCCATGCTAAACGGCGTCGATGCTCCAATCCTCGTCGCCATGTCCACCACTTGTTCCTCGGACAACAACTCCGCCCCTTTGATCATGTCCCAGATGTTCAGGACCACCGCCTTCATCTCTTGGCCCCCCGCGTAGGCGTTGCCAACCGTATCCCTCAGCTTTGACGACCTCCCTTTGCTCCTCGTCGACTTGTTCTCTGTGTTTGAAGCCGGGATGGAGAAGATATTCTTTTGGTGGCTCCCTTCTTCGTCTTGTCCTTCTTGACAAAGTACAGCACAAAGTCCTGCAGCTTCTCTAACGCCGTTGCCGGGGCACCAATAATCTCTTGCCGCCTTGCCTCTGGAAACACCCTCCCGTCCAAGGCCACGACCTTCCCCTTGCCTAAGTCGCCCTCAAATAATGGGCTGTCTCGCAAGCATTGGGTTGCTTTCTTGACCGCAGGCGCACGCAGTAACGCCAGCTCCCGGCATCTGTCCCGTTCCGTACGTGGCCCTTCGAGGAATTCCCGCCCAAACTCGAATGCAGCTATCTCGCGAAGCTGAGCAGTCGGGGCTAGCTTGTGGATGAAACTCGGAAGTATCCTATTCGTCAAGGTCTTGTACAGGCGATTGGCAACCTCCTGTCTCTCATCCAAACCAAGCCGGGCACACGCATCCTTGCTGAGCGAGACGGAACATAACTCGGACATCGCCTTGAGATCTGACTCCGACATCCTTGACATCTCCGCAAGGCGATCCACCACCAGGAATTGGTATTGGTCCTTACCGCTGATGTAGAAAATGGGGGCGGTACGGCGAAGTGCGTCAAGCCGCAGCATGAAATCTCCCGTGCGCAGGGCAGTCCGAAAGGTCATGTAGGGCGAACGTCTTGTGTTCTGCCGCTCGCTTCTTGATCCACGCAACCATCATGCTGTCGGCATCCTCCGCCGGCATGTCTTCCCCCGGTGGAAGGCACTTCTTCCGACATAAAGACATAAGTGCCTCCCACATCACAACGAGGTGGCGGTGTGCCCGTCGGTAGTTGCTCCCTTCGGTTGACTTGCTGTTGTCCGTGCCCAAATCCTTGGCCACGAACTCTACGCCCGCCCCCCAATTCCGCTTGAGAAGAGACTTCGCCGTGTGCAAGCGGAGATGCCAATCACCCGGGTACCGACGAAATTGACGATGTGCGATCCGCTGCTGCTTCTGGATGTAATACAAGACGCGATACGTCTCCTCGTCCCCGGCGATGATACACGGCGCGCCGTCCTTGCCGGCGACCGTATCACGCCATATCCGGAGGATGCGGTCGATGGCCGTCTTGTTGTCGGTGAAGTTTTTTGTACTCCCTAGTTGGATGAACGCGTACCGACCGTCGAGAGTAGCTCTCTCCTCGGGCGTTAGGTCCTGTGTGGGAAAACGAGGTTGCGGAAGCGTGTGTCACCTAAGCAGCAAATTCTAAGGTGCGGAGGGACTAAGCAAGACAGAATAACGTTTGCTTTCCCTCAACTATGGCGTCCACATCAGCAATCCTAAGAACGACCAAGATCAACCAACAATTCTTAAAGTTAAGCAAAAANAAGACAGAATAACGTTTGCTTTCCCTCAACTATCGCGTCCACATCAGCAATCCTAAGAACGACCAAGATCAACCAACAATTATTAAAGTTAAGCAATAAAAAACTCATCACCTTGCATTGTTTTGATTGCTCACCTCCAATAACATCACTATGCAATCAAGCGTTGCAAGGCGTGTACTTTTTCTTCTTTTACGGTCCTGCATTCCTACGTTTGCCCCAAAACGTACAACCGTTTTCGAAAATTGGTGACTCACATCCTACCGGAAAGGTTTCCCTGGATGAACCACACCACACCAACCCACCTTTCGGAGTTGAGCCTCCACACACCACAGCAGCCCGCCCGGTGTCGAACCTAACGACGCACTCTCGTAAACGGCACGTCGGAGCTGTGACTGGAAGGCCTCGAAACGCCGCTCGCCCCCCCCCGCATTTGGCCCCTTCATCACGTCGTCCAAGGTCAGGAGGCTATACCGCTTCAACCTCGAGGCGTCTTCGAGTGTACCACTCTGGTCGGAAATATAGGTCCTTTTTTGAAAAACGGAAATATATGTCCTTCTTTTTGATACGCGTGTCAGTGACGCTCCAGCTCTTCTAGACGCATGGAAATGTACCTAAATCGTGCCCGGGGGGAGGACGAGGGGAATTTTTTGTCAGGGTGACCAGGGGACGCCAGAAAACCATCCCCGGGTTTCCTCGACATTTTTGGGCAAAATGCCTGATCTGGCACGTTCAGTCGCACATTTCAGGTGATGTTTCATCTTTCCCAGGCGCATGAAAAAGAATGCTCAGCATGGTTGGAAAAGTGGGCATGCCAAAAGACGCTGCCGGGAGACCAGGGAGGGGATGTATAACTATCATCCCCGGGGTTTCCAGTGCAGCAAGCTCTGCAACACTGTCGTAGGATTTCTGAGGCAGTTTGCCCTGGTTGCTGCGTACCAGCAGCTCATCTACCACAGCCCTTCGCTCATCCACGTTGAGATTCTTTCTCTTTGGGGTCTCGGCTGCATTTTCAGCGCTAGACATGTCCCTTCACCTTGCGGGAAGGTCCCTAACCGCCAGTTTGAAATTTGCGAGCCCTTTTTAGTGCTGCTGTACGCCGGTGTGTACAAGCGGGACTGTGAGTTTTTTTAAAAATACCCGCGCAAACGTGTGCGCGCGAATGTGGGGAGTTCAGAAAAAAAAAACGTTTCAAAAAATTCGACCCACAGCAGAAGTTATGCCGCAATATGTCAAAAAAGGACCTATATTTCCGACCAGAGTGGTACCCACCGACCCCCCCACCGTGACGGCCGAAGCCGCGATCGTCGACAGATGAGGCCCCCCCTGGCTAACTCCAACCACGGGTTTCATATCACAGTTGTCGAACGGAAACGCACCACAGGTGGCATCCTTTGGAAGCATATCACCATCCTCCACGACCTTTGCATTAAAATCCTCTCGATGCCGTACTTGCGAATCCGTCGCCCACATGCCATGGGCCGCGCAGAAGTCGACCACCACCCGAGGGGTGCCTTTCGACTTGGCGCACTGAGACGCTTTGATATGATGCGAAGCCCTGTACCGTGTACCTAAAACGGCTTTCACTACGCCCGTGCACATCATCACAAGCTGCCGACCGACAGACCGGAAATGAC